TTTTTTTATTTCCCATGTTGGCTACGCCGTAATATGCAACCACTTCCCCGTTTTATTGTGATTTTGAGAGTGTTTAATGATGTCTTCCTCGCCCGTCACGCCATGACCCACATTTCAACCACACGGCCATTTTGCAACAAGTACGTGACACTCAGCGTGACCCGACTGACTATATGATCGTTCTGTTCAACTGTTAAGCTAGGATTTATTACCGTTATTATCATTATATTGTCACATGATTTGTTTTACCTTATGTGTAATGTCTTAAGTATCTTTATTGTAATTTGTATATACCAATTCGTATATACCAAGGAAACGACCCCGATTGAAGGTCATGTATTTTGTGACGTCACCAATTCGTGTGTAGGTACGGCTTCTAGATCCGTGCCGAACAATATGGCGGTGACAGCAACAGCTATTCAGAGTTAGTGAGTGACACCACAGAATAACTGATCCTTACCAGAATATCGTATATTTATTCGATCCGTCCGGAGTTCTACAGCAAGTGTAACTTCATATGTCCCAAATCACACTGAATTATATTTTCAAATGCAAGCCAGAAATGACAGTGCTGGCAGTAGAATGAATACTGGTCTGATTCGACGTTTACTATTTTAGTATTGCGAGTCGGTACAGTCTTGCACAAGAATTTCATACTGCGCTCATATGAATGAGTCAGGTCGGTGTAGATTGCACAACTTGATTATTCTGGGAGTCCGCGCGACTCACTGAAAAGTATTAATATCACGCGTATAAATCCTGTGTCAATACGTTTTATGACGCGCACATGTCCCCATGCTTTTGTTTATCTCTTACCTGTAAATTCCTTGTTACCACCGCTGGATCAATATGTACTGAAGTCGCTCAAACTTGCAATGTATTGTTAAAAAGTGGGGTGTGTATTCTTTCAATTTTTCGATGAATCCGCTGTTTTGACATATGTGTGTTTGTTGGCTGTGTCTTTTCTCACACGTCTCTCGGTATGCCCGCGTTTGGCGTACTAGTACTTATGCGAACGCTCACAACTGACGTCACAACTACTAGACTGATTCGGGATTGTTTTGCTAAAACATTGGATTTTACAATCGAATGTAATAATATTTAGTAACATTAGTAATGTGTATTTTCCCACTCGCAATGTGCGCTTTCTACGTCTTTGATAATAATACTTTAGTTTTTATTTTACATGTAAGTGCGCCACCATATGTTGGAAAGTATGAAATAATCGTACACATTTTCCCCGAGTCTATACTATTTGCCACAACTATGGATACCACTGAATAGCGGTGAAAGCATAGTCGCCCTCTCGTGATGTGAGGATGCGTGTCCAACCTTATTAAAATCCGATTCTGGTTGCGACGCACATGTACTAGAAGTTGAAGAGTTAACCCGACTGGGCGTGTAGTCAACGGTAGTAAATGATTTCGCAACAATATCTCAAAATTGTGTCCGGGTACATATGATGGGTACTCGTGGTTGCCCGAATTATTGTAAAGTTTTGAAATTTGAAATACTGTTGATTTTTCATGAAATAATTTCAAAACTGATGGCCACTTATCATAAAAATGCTTATATAAACATGCCTAACTTAGGAGCTATATGTCCAGTCTGTCAGAATATTCATTCACTAGAAATCGTTAGCAAACTGTCGATCTGAATAAATGTATTTCTTTATTTGTTGTTATTTTGGTATATTTATGACTAATTCCTTGATTTCACTTGCCGTTATAAAGTTTGTTTATACACGGTAGCTCGACCGTCTTAACCAGTCATAAATAAACAAAAATAAATAAACTGCAATAAATAAAATTTTAAATTAAACAAATGAAATCTATATCTACATCGGATTTTAATAAGATTGCGCATGCGCTTGAAGGAGATCAATGATCGTGCCAAGTCGCTGATTTGCCGTAACAGTACTGGTATCCTTTGAACAGAATCACTCTCTGTTTTAAGGTATTATCGTAACCAGTATAATTAATAAATTTGAGTCTATAGTTCTAGGTGAACGTGCCGGTCTCTGACCGCGATCATTTAAAAGACACATTCAGCTTAATATCTGGGGCACACGTTTGAAATGTGTGAATAAATTTGCTAAGAAAAACGTGTTTATATTTTATCTTGATTAGAGAATCAGGAAACGGACAACTTAAATCGAATAGTTTGTCTCAATATTATTATTTTCAACATATGCCACTTTATACCCAGAAGCAAAGATAGCGGGCGCATACAGTTTTCGAAATAAAATAAGGAGCGTGTCACATATATATGATCCGTGAAATAATTATCATTTATTAGACATATTAACACAGTTACTGTCTTCAGGAAAAAAACAACAGTGAGATCACGGGTAGACTTTAGACCATCGAGATCTCGTTGGTAGCGAGAGAACAAAGGGGACAACAAGTCAAGTGACTCTCTCGCTCTCTAAACGAGATCTCAGCGGCCATTTGCTTCTAATGCCAATCACAAGTAAAACGCAACAAACAACTATTTGAAAGCAAAATAAAAGACGCCAGATATATAAGTACAGTTTCATTTTTCATTGGCAAATCTTTGAATTTAAATTATGAATAGATGGAATTTAGTAATATTATTTATAATTGAACTAAATTAGCATAGCTGCTGCAAAACACACGAGCCACATGCATTTGTTGGTGTTGTGTGCGTAATTCAGAAAAATCATGTAATCATGAACTCAAAATACCAGAATGTTCTCCATTAAGCTCGATGTCTGTAGCGCAAAACACAATTCCATTTTTTTTATTCAAGTTTAGGGCCTACTACTAAACAGTCCCTCGCCCAATCATCAGAACGTATTCATGCAATTAAAATGCTGCCATATTATATGAACAAACATTTGTTGTAAAATTTTCGTACGTCGTATCGGAATGACTTGAGAAAAAAATCAATTGCTTCAACTTTAATTTGTCGAGTCTGACTCGTATTAATTTTAAATAAAGACCGTAAACCATTAATTTCTGCGTGTGCCTATCAGTTTCTAATTTGTACATGTAACACACACTTTTAGCGAACTTAACTCTGAATGTGAATACAATTTGTCAACGTGTTTCCTGAAAAGGGTCGCGAGCATAGGAGATTTCAATATAATATTAAAAAACCATGAGTAGTCTACGTTAGATGATTCTGATATTCTGCATGTTGGCAATCAAATTGGATTTGTGTTTTACCGTTAAATACAATGTTATTTTCGCAACACATGACGAATGTGCGTATTTTATCGAAAAAAAAATGTTTAGTTGTGTGCTATAAGAAGATTGTTTTTAGTTAAATGATAAATCGTAATCAAAACAACAATAAAAACCAGACAAAATGTCATTTGCAATAAGATATTTACTTCGAACGACTTTAAGCACTGGTCGAGTCACGTCCATGACGAGATCTGGTTAGGACCTGGGCGCACTGATTGGGCGAACTCGAAAGAATAAGCGCGCACTGATTGGGCGAACTCGAAAGAATAAGCGCGCACTGATTGGGCGAACTCGAAAGAATAAGCGCGCACTGATTGGGCGAACTCGAAAGAATAAGCGCGCACTGATTGGGCGAACTCCAAAGAATAAGCGCGCACTGATTGGGCGAACTCGAAAAAATAAGCGCGCACTGATTGGGCGAACTCGAAAGAATAAGCGCGCACTGATTGGGCGAACTCGAAAGAATAAGCGCGCACTGATTGGGCGAACTCGAAAGAATAAGCGCGCACTGATTGGGCGAACTCCAAAGAATAAGCGCGCACTGATTGGGCGAACTCGAAAGAATAAGCGCGCACTGATTAGGCGAACTCGAAAGAATAAGCGCGCACTGATTGGGCGAACTCGAAAGAATAAGCGCGCACTGATTGGGCGAACTCGAAAGAATAAGCGCGCAGTGATTGGGCGAACTCGAAAGAATAAGCGCGCACTGATTGGGCGAACTCGAAAGCAGAGGCGGCGGCACGAAATTTTGCATGAAGAGCGATATCTGAAATCTAGACCCTCTGAAACGCCATTTCCTGCATTTTGAGGTGCAAATTTTGCTGACGCAAAGGGTTTCAGCTTGATTTGGGGCGACGCCCAAACATTTTATTTCGGGAGGGCTCTATCCCCCCCCCCTCCGATGCCACCGGTACTGACAAGTCCTTGACCGAACCTCTTGGATGTCTCCAAACACAATCATTGGGACAATAGTATATGGAGATACGAAACTGCGGAAGTGAGATAATAAATGAATTCTAAAGTCACTGGTATTCTATACAATGTGTTTGTAAAATATTGAGTGTGGCGCCGAGAAAGCTGAAGTTAAAACAAAGGGTGCGAGATTGCCAGTTGTTAATTGATGTATCATTTGAAATGAACAAGGGTGGCTGTTAGTTCGAAGCCAACCCTGGTCCGATGTGAATTAAGGGATGTTGGGCATTCCTTTTCCTATTTGTCAACGATATCATACATCCAGTCTGTGCCATATTGTCCATGTATCATCGGTAATTACGTCTTTAGTTCCATAGTAGATATAACGTGCGATCTCCCCGACCGTATTGTTCATGGTTTTAATGTTTTCAGAATTTGGAAGTGGCTGTCTGTTCGCTACTGTTTGTTTATGGTAAAAATGTATACTATATCTAGGGAGATCCCAGTCCATGGGACTGAAATATTCCATCACCCAGTCATCACAGTGGTTGATATTCCGGTTAAAGCTGAAGAGCTCTATGTGTAGTAGATCCCGGTGTTTAAACGCCATATTATTAGCATCCCATACTGATGTGCAGGCGAAACAGCGAGGTTGGAAATTCCGGTAGCTCTCGTAGTACATGCGCAGATACTCTGAGTTTTTATTCGCTAAAATGACGTTGTTGCTGAGTCTGCCGTCACCGGGCCGGTTTGCGACATAATCGTAGTAGCGTAGCGATTCGAACGGTTTAAACAACCATATATCAAGGTCGAAATACACGCCACCGTACTGCAATAAAGCCTGCAAGCGCAAAACATCTGATTTGTGGTTGATTATTCTAATTTTAATCCCAAAAATGGATTCCGGCGTTTCGTGGTGAACGATCTCCAACACGGGGATACGTTTCGCTTCGTTCCACCAGTAACCTTGCGGCTCAGGGTCACAGTCGGTGTGAAACAGCATTCTGTCTGGCTTCATTGTACGGTATACACTAACGATACTGATTAAGTTGTAGAATTCGAAATCCGGGCACCCGACCCACGTGAAATGGGCAATATTGGGTACTACTGGGTGATCATTCGGTTTGAGCTTCCCGAGAAACCACTGAATAGATTCCGGTTCAAAATTTGTTGACGTGTTCCATTTTAATATCCGCTCTGTCGCACTACCTTCGAGAGAGAACAAGTTTCGCCGTGGACATACCCTCCCTTTTTTGAACTTTTTAACAGAAACGTCTTTCGTTTTCCCGGTTTCTGTCTGTTTGGTGTGTTTTGAATTCGTTTTCACTACAATATTTCGCTGCATTCCATCGTCTTCAATGATACCCTCGTCAGAATCACCATCGCTGACGTCATTTTCCAACACATCACCCGGATAACCAACATCGGAACGAACCGTCGACGTGCTCTCAGTCGTCGGCGTTGCTATTATCGTAGAAAAGTCTTCCTCAGTGTTCCATTGTGACCCAACGTGATACGTCCTCTCAGTTGAATCCGCCCCGTGTTGTTCCATGTCTGTCCGCTCCATCTCAGTGTTATCCTGTTTCGGTTTATGTCGTCTGTGTAACAATGAACCAATCACCAACATCACAATAACCCCAATACACAATAAGATGTTGAATCTCCTGCCGATAGAGAAATACCTGGCCACTGCGCGTCGTGGCGAAGACATCATTCAAGGCGTGTACTTGTCTAAAATAGTGTCTGTACAGGTTTACACATTCAGATAATGGGCACGGAACCGTCCATACACATAACAGCCACTCTATCACGAATGTAGCAGCTTGCACCCGGAGTGCGACCCTGCATCATATAGCATATTAAAAAGGATTAT